GGTTCTAATTTCAGTTTCTTGCCTCTGTAGGGTAAACTAGATCCTGTTGTTGGTAGGCAGCCGCAAATAGAACGTGTAACACAAATTCTTGGTCGGCGAACAAAGAATAATCCATGCCTCATTGGTGAACCTGGTGTTGGGAAAACTGCCATTGCTGAAGGTCTGGCTCAAAGGATTGCTAATGGGGATGTTCCTGAAACGATAGAAGGGAAGAAGGTCAGAATTTGTTTTTACAATAAGTGGCCGCTTTTCGGGAACTCAAGAACATATCTCCTTGTTGCTTGTTGAACAATCAATCCAACCATAATTATATAATTAAGCAGTACGCTGTACCTTGTTATGCTGAAAAGTCCCAGATACTCTGTAGGCTATTTATATGGCCCAACTTAAATTAAAATAGTCTTTATTTCTGCAAGTCAGCAAGCTCTGGCAATTGTTCTTTTGAGACAAATCAAGGAATTATTTTGGTTGTCAAACCCGTTCTACACCGTTGTTTGACGTTTGACCTAGTAGGCTATTTTTCTCCATTATGTTTGTGGGGCATTTGTTATTGAAATAGTTATTTAAAATTTTCCATTGTGCAGGTTATAACCTTGGATATGGGCCTTCTTGTAGCTGGCACAAAATATCGTGGGGAGTTTGAGGAAAGACTAAAGAAACTGATGGAGGAAATTAAACAAAGTGATGACATTATCCTTTTTATTGATGAGGTGCACACATTAATTGGCGCAGGGGCTGCAGAAGGAGCTATTGATGCAGCAAACATATTAAAGCCTGCCCTTGCAAGGGGTGAACTGCAGGTAATCTTGAGACCCTATAATTCACTATAATAAAGCCTAAACAACTTAAGAGGCCATGGTGGAGGAAACGCCCACCAAAGAAAGCTATTGTACGAAGACCTTCCACTCTAGTTAATAAAAGAAAAAACTGGATAGTTATCTAACATTATTTTGTGATAGGAGACCCTACATTCCCCAAAGAAGAAGGCCAAAACAACTTAGAGGCTGGGGTAGAGGAAACCCCAGAAAAGAAAGATATTGGATGAAAACCCTCCACTCTAGGATAGTTAAAAATAAAATGTGGGCAACGAACAATGTTTTCATATATATATATATATTGTGAGAGACGCTTCAACATGAGGTTATCTAATGAACAAGATAAAAAAAACTACATATGAATTTATGTTTCTCGTTACAATTTTATGATTTCTTCAAAACTGTATGAGCCACAAAAATGCTCTAATGGCGCAGTTTTAAAGATCTGTAGCTTTTCTTTTCAACCAACTAGTAGTTTTACTTTGGAGTCTAACTTGAGTAACTAAGCTTCTGTAGGCAAGGGATCACAAAAAAAAACTTGTCCTTCTTTAGCACTTGAATTTTGTAAACTAGATGCCCAAGGACGAGCTTCAATTTCTGAGGGAGTAGTTTGGAACTTCAAGTCTAAGAACTGGAGCTATCAAGGGTCCATGTCACCATATCTTTGTTAGAACGAAAACTAGTCACCTGGATCTTTTCTCTACTTTTATCAACCAAGTTGTATTGTAAGGAGGATTCTTCTCAATTAAGAGATATCCGTCATGACAAAAAGTAACGAAAGGTACTATAGTTGCAAAATATAGGATAACAAATGTTTATAAAGTTTTTAACCGTACTAGCTGGTATTTTTCAATCATTGTAATCCTTATAATGTTTCTAGTTGTTGTTACACATCTCAATTCTTTCTCCCTGTGCTACCAAAATAAATTATCCGGTTTTCTATTTTTTACAGTGCATTGGAGCTACAACCTTGGATGAATACAGAAAGCACATTGAGAAAGACCCAGCCTTAGAGAGACGATTTCAGCCAGTCAAAGTGCCAGAGCCATCTGTGGATGAAACCATACAGATTTTGAAAGGCCTGAGAGAGCGCTATGAGATCCACCACAAACTTCGTTACACAGATGAAGCATTAGAGGCTGCTGCACAGCTGTCATACCAGTACATCAGGTATGTTATCGTTGCCTTGAAAGATAATATTTAGCTAAGTGGAAAGAAAAGCTCTGTGGTGTTTAACCTCCATTTATTTTACCTACCTCCTAATAGACCGTTTTGGTTTGGATAATATTTGATAACATTGAAGTCCACGTATTTGAGTGGATTATGTAAATAATGATGTGTGGTTGAGAGATTGCCTTGTAATATCTGTGCTTCGGAATAATTAGTTTAGATTGTAGTTGATTTTCGTAATTAGTTTGTGAAAGGTGTGTTTTGATGGGTATCTGTCAATTTCAGTGATCGATTCTTGCCTGATAAGGCAATTGACTTGATTGATGAAGCAGGTTCCCGAGTTCGCCTTCGTCATGCTCAGGTCTGTTCTCATCATCCTTGCAACTTATCCAATCCTGGTGTTTTTCTACACGATTTTGCTACATTTTTAACGTTATTTGCAGCTACCTGAGGAAGCTAAGGAGCTGGAGAAAGAGCTCAGGCAGATTACGAAGGAGAAAAATGAGGCCGTTAGGAGTCAAGATTTTGAGAAGGTAATTTTGTTCTCTTTTATTTTTCTCCCCTGTTATTTGCAATGTTTTACAGTTAAGCTTCCTGAAACTGCATGTTGGTGTTCTTTCTCTGGGTTTTTCTATGAATGACCAAGTGGTTGCAATATTTAAATTTTAGTATTTCCATGCCATTTTGAAGTTGATTCAGCTCTAGCAAAGGAAACTTAAGTGATTTACTTTAAACAGGCTGGAGAATTGCGTGATAGAGAAATGGAACTTAAGACTAAGATCTCTGCTCTCATAGATAAAGGCAAGGAGATGAGCAAGGCGGAAAGTGAGGCAGGAGACGTAGGCGCTGTTGTGACTGAAGTTGATATTCAGCATATTGTCGCTTCCTGGACTGGCATTCCTGTCGATAAAGTATCCACTGATGAATCTGACCGCCTCCTCAAAATGGAAGAGACCCTCCATACGAGGGTCATTGGTCAAGATGAAGCAGTTAAAGCCATCAGCCGTGCCATACGCAGAGCTCGTGTTGGACTCAAGAATCCCAATCGTCCCATTGCAAGCTTTATATTTTCTGGGCCAACTGGTGTTGGTAAATCCGAGTTAGCAAAATCATTGGCTGCTTACTACTTCGGCTCTGAAGAAGCAATGATTCGTCTCGACATGAGTGAATTCATGGAAAGACATACCGTCTCCAAGCTCATTGGTTCACCCCCTGGTTATGTTGGTTACACAGAGGGTGGTCAATTAACTGAGGCCGTTCGTCGCCGTCCATACACAGTGGTTCTCTTCGATGAGATTGAAAAGGCTCATCCTGATGTGTTCAACATGATGCTTCAAATTCTGGAGGATGGAAGGTTGACAGATAGCAAGGGCAGAACTGTAGACTTCAAGAATACACTTTTGATTATGACATCAAACGTGGGAAGCAGTGTAATTGAGAAGGGAGGTCGCAGAATAGGGTTCGACCTCGACTACGACGAGAAGGACAGTAGCTATAACCGTATCAAGAGCTTGGTGACAGAGGAGCTGAAACAATACTTCAGGCCTGAGTTCTTGAATAGGTTGGACGAGATGATCGTGTTCCGTCAGCTCACAAAACTGGAGGTGAAGGAGATTTCAGATATAATGCTGAAGGAGGTGTTCAATAGGTTAAAATCCAAGGAAATCGAGCTTCAAGTGACAGAGAGATTCAGGGATAGGGTAGTCGAGGAAGGATATAACCCAAGCTATGGTGCGAGGCCATTGAGAAGGGCAATCATGAGACTTTTGGAGGACAGCATGGCTGAGAAGATGCTGGCAAGGGAGATCAAGGAGGGTGACTCTGTAATTGTGGATGTTGATTCAGATGGAAACGTGACAGTGCTGAACGGCAGCAGTGGAGCTGCTACTCCTGAGGCTTTGGCGGATGCTTTGGTTTGATAGAGATGAGAACAACAATCATATTATTTACAAGGTACGAAATGAAACGCATGTTCATCTTATTTATTGGCTTGTTCTTGTATAGTCCGTTTCTATCTGGATGAATGGGTCAGCTGTTGTTATTGGATTTGGAAGTGCGTAGTGGAGCTTTCTAAGTTAGATTTGAGTAATGAATGCCTATTTTCCACTACGAGGATTGGCAGTACTTTGAGAACTTTGTTGTATGAATAAAATTATTAATGCCTTTTACAGTTCATCCACATTGCATTTGTAACTTACTTTCTTACCTCCATTGATTAAGTTTTTTTTTTTTTTTTTTTTTTTTTTCCCTTTTTTGTCTTATAACTGATCTGCCACTGATCTTAGAGGCAGCTTGGTTTGAGCTTTGTTGTGTGTAGAACAAAAAATTTATGTAAGAGAACTTGAGGCGATCTATGAACCAAAATTGCATCATGTTTTTTTGCCTCCAATCAAGGCTTTTTTGAGTCTGAAAACAAACATTTGCTACGAGAGGAGATTGACACCATGTATGAGTTCTCTTGAATTTGAAGCCAAAAGTTTACCTTGGAGAGTTTGGTGCTATGTACTGACAAAGTGTTCAGCTTTGGCTGACTTAGTTTGAATTGTTTCAGAGTACGAAACTAAAGGTTCTTCGAACCAATAGTATTGTTATTCGGAAGTGTAGAACCATAACTAAATTATCTCGACTCCAACATCAGAACTTATAATAACTTATAAAGGAAAAAGTATTTATGGGAAGACTTGGGATGAAAGAATAGCAACTAGCGTCTTTTGTCCTAACGACTTTTACTCTATCTAACATTTAAGACGGTAGGTTAAGTGAACATCTCTATTTGAAAATCGTCACTAGTTCATTTTCCTCCATACTCACTTTATCATCCCTTGTATTGGTTAGATCTTCCACTTCTATCTCATCCTCCATCTCTTCCTCAATCAAATCACCATAGTTCAAGAGGACGTTCATTTCTTCATTTCTTGCTTGGCCATATTCATACGCTATAAATTTCATCTTGTATATTAATAGTTGTACACTTAAACCACGCATTTAAACTTCCACGAACTAAATGTTGTGTTACTCGAGCTATGCAAATTTCAACTAAGAAAGTCTCCAGAAATTCTGTTTCGAACTCCGAAATAATCATAAGGTAAAAATATAGAAATTAACAAAAGGTTACTCTAAGGGAATAAACAGCCAATTAAAAAGGGCTAGATGTAATACATGAAACAGAGACTTTGTTCCTAACCGGTGTGAAGACGACATATTTACCATCTCTGATTAACACTTCTCGAAGGATTTAAAGTTTCCTCCATATGTTGATTATACCATCTACAATTGACTTAATGCGTCCTCCCCAGGGTTTTGAATCACTTGTTGAAGGCTGAACCAAATCCATTGTCCTATTGTCAATGTTCTCCCTGGAAAATAGAAGAATTGCAGGAAGGAACATCTCAGTTATTTCATAATAAGCAGCCATGAAAACTTTGAAGTAAAACATGGAAATGGGCATGTGAAGAACCCCAAGGTGAAAAAGATCAGCAACATGATTGGCACATATTGAGGAGTCCAAAAGGAAAAGGTGTTTGAGGAGTACCCATCTAATACGAACAACAGTACCTTTTTTTAGAAATAGTTCTCCGGTCCATGCTCATGATTCTTAGATACAAGTATTAATTATTATTCTAATTATCGGAAACTTGACGGTGAATCGAGCATATAAAATACAAAAATTTGTAACTTAATGCAACAATAATTAAGTAATTATATTCAAAACAAAATATGAATCATCAAAATATAAAGATTTCTCTTTTTACTTGTGCAGCTAAAGGGTATCGCAAACCTGTCTATTTCAGGAGAACTATGAACTTGTTGCTCCTTACAATTTGGGTCTTCATGCTTCAGCTCTTCCGATGAAGAACTACTTTCAAGCTGAACATCAGAAACCACATCTCGTTCATTTTTTAGTACATGGCTATCAGTACAAACATGCTCAGAAATGTCCAACTCTTTATTATCATTATCTGGTTTCTTATGAGAAGAAGAAATAACTTCCTCGGAGTCGGCCAAAAGATTGGTTCTCAATGGAACGCCAGAATGGCTAACCTGTGTACAATTACAAAAATCAATTAACAAACATAACACAGAAGGCCGCCTCAACCAGTGTCAACATTTATGATCGAATATAAAGAATGATAGAAGTCTCTTTAAAATTGATGTTATATAGCTGTGTGAGAAAGAAAGTTTATGTCATTTCTAAATAATTCGGGACTAAAGTAAAATGAAGACTGATACTTATTTCAAAAAAGAGAATTTCTTAATATGATTAACCTCAAAAGAAAATATACTTCAAATAATTTGATCCAGTAACTCCCTTATTTCATCGCTAATTCCTAAAAACATATAAGTTAATGTATATGTGTGTGTAATTTTGTACTTCCAATGAAATGAGTTCATAATAAATAAAAAATCCAATCATTTTTTTTTGATAGAGTAACATGTTCAATCATAACCTTATTTTCCATCTTTTGAAGTATATCACTTTGGTGAAAAAAAAACAAAAACAGGCTAGCGACGGAATTTCAACATGCAAATGACGAGATAGCATCTAGGTGTCCCATAGCAAAAAAATTTATACATGCTGTGGCACCAGTAACGAAGTGAATCCACCTATACGGTCCTAATTAGATCAAAACATAAGCTTACAACTTTCTTAAGAGAGCCCTGTAAACTTCATATCTCCAAATTCAGTGCAAATACTTGTTTTGACAAAGATAAGACTTACAAGAGTTGCAGGCTTAACATCATCATTAGCAGACAAGATCTTCTCAGCACAAGGGGACTTTTGCCAATCGGACGCTGCTTCCAAATCTTTGCCAACAACATTAGGGTTCTCTGCATCATGAACGATCATTGAATGGGAATAGTTCTTGTTGTTGAACTCAAAGCAGCAGTCTACTCAATATATTAAAAGATAACGGTGGCCTTGAGCATTAAAAAAAAGAAGAGGAAAATTTTGAGATAATGAGATGTAAACTTCACAAAAAACAAAAACAAAAAGAAAAAAGTATCTATACACATCGATCAAAGTCATAAAAATGTAATCCATTGTGCAACATTATATATAAATAGAAGTATAGAAAGAAAAAATCAAGTCTCAATGATCTTTTTCTTAAATAAATATTCAATTGGTTGTTGATAGAATCAGTAAGCCTCCAATTTAAGTTTTTTTTTTCTTTTGGTAAAAGAACTTGGTTTTCATTGAGAAAAAAATTGAAGAATACACGAACATACAAAAAAGAAAAGCATACGACGGTTCAGTCAAGAGCAAGAGAAATAAGGCTCAACAAATAGTTACCGAAGAGTCAAGAAACAAAGGTCCAAAGAGAAATAGAGAATCCAACCAGGGACCAAACATGGATATTCGAGCTCTCACATCTTCTGAAGATTCTATTGTTTCTCTCTCCCCAAAGCCCCCACAGTATAGCACACACCCCAACCTGCCACAAAAATCACTTTTCATCACAAAAAGGCAAATGGAGGAAAAGCTTATCCAACAACTTCCTGCAACTTTGATGGGTGACAAAACTAAAACTGAATACTTGAAAGAAACTGCTCCACACAATACGAGCAAAATCACAGCTTCACATGATATGCTCTAGGTCCTCAACTCTCTTCTTGCAAAAATACACAAAGTAGCCCAACCACTAAAGACCTACCCAAAATCTGATTCAAGATGTTAACTCTTCCATGCAACCCTTGCCACAAGAAGAACTGAAAAAAATAGAACCCCCACTAAGGATGGGTTGGATAATCATTGGAAGAAGAACTACAAGGAAAATCTTTTGAAGGACACAAGTTCAAAAGGCAAGAATCTCTACCCCAGGTTTAAAGCGAAAAGAGGAGAAGCACAAAAGTAGAGTTGAGAAGTCTGATGCTTCCTCATTGGTCAATGAACATCGAGCACACAAGGAAGGAGACGATGATAAGTCTGACTGACCAAGGATTGAAACAACTGAGTGGTTCCTCAGAGAAGATAAGGGATATAAACAAGGTACAAGGAGTAGAGGGGTCTATCCCCCAGCCACTTGTCCTCCCAACAATAGGTATCCACCCGTCCTCAAAATCATTATGAAGAAATAGAGAAAGCAAAGGAATATTTGCTACCATCACTTTCCATGGGATTTTGAAAGTGTCTTTTAAACCCACACCAATCCACTCAAAAAGGTGGGACTCGTATTTCTTAACAATAACCTTGTGCCATAAGATATGGACTTCATGAAAGAATTGCCACAACCATTTAGCTAGCAAGCTAGTGTTTCTCATTCTCACATTACCAATAACTGAACCCCCTTAAGTCCGAGGGCCTAGAAACCACCTCCCAATGCACCAGGTGCAACCCTTCCCTTCTTCTAGCCTCTCTCATAAGAAATCTCTCCTAAGCTTCTCCACCTCCTTTCCAATCAAACATGGAACTCTAAGAAGAGATAAAGTAGAAATACCAATTGAATAAGAGAGTGATCCTTTTGCTGATCTTCCCCGTGATATCCCACATTGACTAGAGAAGAGAACAAAACACCCTTTATAAGGGTGTGGAAACCTTTCCAGCAGACGCATTTTAAAAACCTTGAGGGGAAGCCGGAAAGGAAAAGCCCAAAGAGGACAATATCTACTAGCGGTGGGCCTAGGCTGTTACAAATGGTATCCGAGCCAGACACCAGGCGATGTGCCAGAAAGGACGTTGGACGTTGAAGGGGGGTGGATTGTGATAACCCACATTGGTTGGAGAGGGGAACGAAACACCCTTTATAAGGATGTGGAAACCTTTCCCTAGAAAACGCGTTTTAAAAACCTTGAGAGGAAGCCCGAAAAGGAAAGCCCAAAGAGGACAATATCTGCTAGCGGTGGGCATGGGCCATTACATTCCCAATGACAGGGTCCCAAAAGAAATGACCTCTAGGGGAGTGGCCTACGGGAAAACCTAAGTAGGATGAAAGGAAAATCCCAACATCAAAACCCACAAAGCTAGATCACCTCTCGAGCTTGAAAGAGTTACAATTAATGCCCAAAATTTGTCATTTACCTCCATTAATCTTAAGGCTCGAGATAATCTAAAAAAAGCCCGAATATGATTGAGCTTGAGAAAGGAATCCCTTTTACCATAGCAAAAGAAGACTATCAACAACGAACTAGAGATGAGAGGTGAACCTTGTCCTTTCCAACTTGAAAGCTTAACAATATTACCTTCCACCCCTTTTAAGATCATTCTTCTCAAAATGTCAACCACCAAAAGAAATATAAAAGGAGATAGGGTGTCACCTTGTCTAATTCCTCTAGAGGCACAAGTTGTACCCCTTGGATTCCCATTGATCAAAATGGAAAAGAAATATAAACGGAGATAGGGTGTCACCTTGTCTAATTCCTCTAGAGGCACAAGTTCTACCCCTTGGATTCCCATTGACCAAAATGGAACAGTTGACATTCCTGAGGCAAGTCCCTATCCAAGCTCTCCATTTGGAACCAAATCCCTTCTTCGTCATTATCTTGTCTACAAACTCCCACAAGCTTCAAAAAGTGATGCAAATTTCCGCAGCACTGAGGAAGGAGGATTAGGAATCTCATTTTCACATTCTTGAAATAATGATATTAGATATTCAGCAAAAGATTCTTCAACCACTCTCATGCCCTCTAAAGATTTTGTTGTTTCTCTTGCCCTAGCGCCCTCACAAAATAGCACACATCTTAGCTTGCCACAAAACTCACCTTTTATTATGAAAGGGCAGATGGAAAATAAGCGCCTCAACCAACTCCTTGCAACTCTGAGAGTCAACAAAGCTAAAACCGAACACCTCAAAGAAATTGTGCAAGACCACACGAGCAAAATCATAGCACAAGATGTGATCCAAGTCCTATGCAACCCTCCTATAACGAATAGGGAAAAGCAACCTAACCACCAAAGACCTCTAGCTGAGATCTAATCCAAGGTGTTATTTCTTCCATGTAAAACCTACCACATGAAGAACTTCACCTTCTAGGAAATTTTCACTTTCCAACCTGAGGAGAAAATAGAACCACCCATCGAGGAGGTCTTGGAAAAGCACGGGAAGAATGAGCTATGAGAAAAACCTTTGGATGGACAAGGAGTCCAAAGGTTGACACTCTCCCTCCTCGACTTAAAGATAAAAGAGGAAAGCGAGGATAAAATAGGCAAGCACTGGAAGAATAAGCTATGAGAAAAACCTTTGGATGGACAAGGAGTCCAAAGGTAGACATTCTCCCTCCTGGACTTAAAGAGAAAAGAGGAAAGCAAGGATAAAATAGTCAAGACATCCGATGTTTGCCGATGGCAATGGATGCCAGAGACCCAAGGAAGGAGAAGCTGGCAAATTTACCTAATTAAGGATTGATACTACCGAATGGTTCCTGAAAAAGGTCAGTGGTATAAGCAAAGGTATAAGGAGCAAACGAGTCTATCCCCAACCACTTGTCCTCCAAAAACAAGTATCTTGTTCATCCCCCACCACATTATGAATTAACTGAGAAAGAAAAGGAGGATCCGTCGCAATTTTTTTCCTCAGGTTTCTGGAATTGGCTTTTAACTCCCCACTAGTCAATTCAATGGGATGGGGCTCGTACTTGCTAACAATAACCTTGTGCCACAACGTATTGGGTTCAAAACAACATCACCACAACTTTTAGCCAACAAGACTGTGTTTCTCGTCCTAACATTACCAATGCCTAAACTCTCCTGGTCCAAAGGCCCAGAGACCACCTCCCATCCCATCTCATCTCACCAGATGTGAAACCTTTCCCTATCCACCCCCTCCCATAAGAAATCTCTCATGAGTTTCACCATCTCTTTTTCAATCGAACTCAAGACTCTAAAATGAGACAAAAAAGTAAATAGAATGTGGTAAGCTGATGGAGGCATGCATCTCTCGTGATCTAAAGAAGGCAAGAAACAAAAAGCCAAAAAGCCAAAAAGCCAAAAAAAAAAAAAAAAAAAAAAAAAAAAAAAAAAAAAAAAAAAAAAAAAAAAAAAAAAAAAAAAAAAAAGAAGAAGATTCTCACTCTTAGAGACTAAAACCCTTCTAAAAACCAGGAATACTTAAGGTAAAATTTACATCTTCAGCTAAACTTCTATTACCTTTGATTTCTGTTTCTCGAAACGACTTTTTACTTTTACTCGTTAAGGACGACATTGTAGATTCATTTTGAAGCTCCTGAAGGATTTTCCTAATAGTATAAAATGAGCCACCTACTTGTTTCATAGTGTCTGTTATCGAAGGGAATTTTCCAGTATTTGATGCCTTGTACCTGCAGAAGGAATAATCAAGTATTGAACCACCAAAATTCAATTACCAAGAAAGTATTAGATGCAATTTAAAAAACTTGCTCACCTGCAGACAACAAAAAGGGTAACCAAACAGAAATGAATACATTATTTCTTCAAATTGACGGGCAAAAAGAAGCTTGCAACTGAGGATGCATTAAAACATTCAAAAGCTATCGAATTACTCCCATGTGATCAGTGAGCAAAGTACAATATTGAAAGATGGAACATTCTGTAATCAGGTTAAAAGAAAATGATATTGAAATGAAAACGGAAATCAATTAACATAAACAAATAAGCAGGAAAAAGTTTCAATTATTAGTTATTTTTCTCAGGTTGCATTATGAGTATGAGCAATGAATATCTTTCTAGGAACACATGCCAATTCCTTGAGGTAAACAGTAGTAGTAAATGTAATACACAGTCTTCTTAATGGTCATGATAGATGCTCTTATTGTTAAAACTAAAGAGAAAAAGAGTGAATTTCAAATGAGGAGAAAACAAGAAAATACTTGTCTACAAAAGATTCGACCATTGCTCGCCGATCTTCTCTAGAGACTTTTTTACGATCCTTCTCGGGACGGGGTACATCTGAAGCAACAGAGGCAGCATATGATCTTCCACGCCACCATGCATTTGGGGTAGGTACAAAATTGTCGACGTCTTTCCGAGTGAACGCTGCAAAACGAAGAAGATTAATGAAGCCTTAATAGACAATGAAATAAAAACCGAATAATTCCATTCAAATCAAAGCCGGATTGAAATAGCTTCAGTCATCAAAGAGGGAGAGGAAGAGGGTTTATACCCGATTTTAAGCCGGAAATAGAGTGCTCGAAAGAACAGTTGGAGTGGAGTCCTCTTCCAGCAAGAAGCTTAATCCTCATTTTCACCATAGATTGTGGTTCCTCAGTCCATCGGAATAGGAAGAAGAAGCAGAGAGGAGTGGAGCAGGGAAGAAGGCCCTCCTCAGGGTTTTAGGGTACTCTTCCGCTTTTGAACTTTTTTTTGGCCCTTTATTTTTACAAACTCACTTCTTTTTTTTTTTTTTTAACCAAATAATGAACTGATTTAAATTTATTTAATTTTTTTTTGTCTGTAATAAAAGTAAAATATCAAAACATTTATTTATTTCTTGAATATTTAATTAAAATTGTAATTTAATATCAGTATATATTTTATAAAATTAACTTTGTTATAAATTATTTTTAATAACATAAAAAGTAATTATTAAATTAAATTAAATTAAAAATAAAATAAATGTATGTATATATATATAATTATATTGTAAATAAAAATATATATTTTAAAATTGATAACAAATTCTTTAGTTAAAACATTTTTTTTTTCTTTTTATTTTTATCACTTCTTCATTTCTTATTCTTCTTCTCTTCTTATATATTACATTTTTATTTAGCTTTTGTATAATTAATTCTTTTATTGGACTCTGGAAAAAGTTTATATAATTTTATTAAATTAATTTTTTTTTTTTTTGAAGATATTATTAAGATGCATTGTTATGTAAGCTCAAAAACTTAAAATTTTAAAAATATTATTCATAATATATTTATAAATTAATGAAATTAAAATAAGTTTTAATTAATTAAATTATTTTTATAACTTAACATAGTTAAAATTTAAATAATATTATTCACGTGAAATTAAAATAAATTTTAGAATAAAATAACTAAATGCAATAAACATGTTAAAAAGAAAAATAGGAACCAAATAGAAATATTATTTAATATTATGAAAATTGGTTCACCATTGTTGGTAAAATTAAACCTAGCTTAGCTTAAATTAATTTAAATTAGTTATTTTACTGACCTTAAAACACCCTCCAAATTGTAAAAAATGTCTCTCAAAAGAGTCGAAAATGGTAAAAAAGAGTTTAAAGCTCTTGTACCTGAGCCAGATTAGTTGCCCTCAAAAGGGTTCAAAAATATCAATTCGAGACGAATCAATTGAGAGACAGAGCTGAAGCCGTAAGAACATGGATTCTCCGACTGGTTTTGAATCGCCAAGGTGGGATGAAAAGATCAGCTGCCCTCGAAAGGGTTTGAAAATATCAAACTCGAGTCGAATTAGTCGAAAGACAGAGGTAAAGCGGTCAGGACCTAAATTGTTATGATTTAGCAAGCTAAAGAACCTCCGTTTTTATATTAGAGTCCATCTTTCCATTTTCTCATTCTAAGGGACGTGAGATAATTTTTTTAAAAAAAAATTCATGTTGTTACATTTGCTTTAGTTTTAAAACCTCTACTAATATTTTGGAACATGTCTCTTTCTCGTGGTGTCTTTAAATTCTTTAGAAGGTTCTATATAATCCTCCTCCTTTCTTCTTCTCCATGATTTCAGATGTGGATATCATTCACCCGCATGATTGGTGAACTCGAAAACGACAACAAAGCTTTTGAATAAGCATGATTAATCAAATGAAATAACGATAAGACCCTATACCCAAAGCTAACATCATATAACCCAATTGAGAAATTGTAGAATAGACTAAACTTCTCTTAATATCTTTTTGAACCAGAGCTAAAGTAGCTCCAAATAGTGTTGTTATTATACCTATAAAAGCTATTACATTCATGACGTAAAGTCTTACTATACAAAGCAGAAGAAGCCCGAGTGACAAGAAAATTCTAGGTGCTACTATTGTAGCACAGTATGTGTAATTGTGAGTTTAACTCTGCTACTTTTATTCTCGTTCACTCTTTCCATCCTTAAGTTGTATAACATTTACTACGTTATTTCTTCCTCTTGTCTTGCACGTTCTCTTCTCAACTTATCTTTTTTGTACAACTAAGTCAAATGTCCTCTTATAACACTCGTTCTTCTATTTGTTGCATGGTATTCTTCTTTCTTGCCTATCTTCCTTCATCTCATTTTCATCCTGCATTGAATTGCTTGAAGAATAGCCCATAACTCTTAGATCTAATATATTGACGACTCCCTCTAGAATTAAACTAATCAGAGTAATCCAATGAATCGATTAAACTTCAAACATAATGCAAGATTTGAGAAAGAACCAATACCAAGGTGAGTTTTTTTTAGAAATTCTGCATAGTTTTATGGTCCATCGTACCATTTTTCAAATAACACAACTTTTTTCGATGTCATCTAACGTTCTAAAATAACATTATAAATAAATTTATGTGCAATTAGGTAGTTGTCAAAGATGCAATGTAAAATTCTTTTTGAATTTTCTTTATCTTACTTCTTGCAATAATCTCTTCAGATATGAACAATGGATCAAATATTGTATTCACATCGATACATTAAGTTGTAGCAAGAAGGTGCAGACAGTAATATTGTCACCTCAATCTATAATAGATGATTCAAGACGTTTCTTCTTGCACAAGAAAAAGGAGGTTGATTGTTCTTAACTATGTTTTGATTTGAATGAATCTCTTTCTTTTAGGTTCTCAAGGCCTTTCTATCCTATAACAAAATGCATATGGACAAGGTTGTTTAATAGGTATCTCATTAGTGGTAAGGGAAGTAAGTAGCTCGAGATCATTCCGAGGGGATCGGCTAGATCAAGACTAGAAGAGATGATCTTCAGGATGAGAAGAAGTTGAATCCATACACTCGATCCATTGCTTCTACCCATCCTTGATGCAACCAGCCCACGACCTGGACTCAGAATTCAGCCATCTCAGGATCAAGACTAGAAGAGATATCTAGTAGAATTGTTAGTAGTTTTAACCGAGTAAATTAGTAAATTTGTTAGTGATTTCTTCCTTATAAATATTCATCAGATATATGTTCTATTAACGACAACAAAAGAATTGAAAAGCAAGTTGTTCTAGTTGCTTTACTAATTTGTTTTACCTCGATCAAGGGCCAAAACCAACAAGATGCACATCTACATTCTTGGTTAATTCCTCTACCCATGATTTAGATTAGAAGTCTGAATTAGAATCTGACAACTGATGGCCTCGACATTTACCTTCATTTAGAGACATGATCCCTCCATCTCTTGTCACCGACCAAAACTAATCCTTTCAATTTGTTTTATCCTCACTTGTATGCTTTCTAAAAAAATTCTCGAAATGATATCACCCGATAAACCATTTTTTCTTAACCATTATGTCCCAAAATCACTCTCATTCATATAATTTTGATTTATTTTCATACCCTTTCCTATACTCGAGCATCACAATCAAGAAACTAGCTGTCGAAACCGACCCTCGCTTTCTTCTTTTTCTTCACAACTCCGGGTCATCTAATTACCAATTTGGTTGAATGCTATTCAATAAATTCATTTATTTTGTTGCTAAAAACTTTAAAACATAAAGTACTTTCCTAAAGGAAATCATTTTCTACCATAAGATTTGACTCAAGAAAAAAGGCATCTATTCAATAAGCACAAAAGATATATACATAAAAGATGATAAACACGTCATTTCAGGTTAAATATTAAATACAATTTAATGAGTAACACTATTTATTAAATTATTGTACTTTTTCAAAATATCTTATAATATATCTTTTTATATTTATTTGATTTTATTTTTATTTCAAACCCTCCATGAGCTTCCCTTAAACATAGTATTAATTTTGGGAAACATTTTCATTATCAATACATGTTCTTGTTTCAACCATTATAATGATTAGATTTGTCTTCTTTTTTTTTTTTTTTTTTTTTTTTTTTTTTTTTTTTTTTTTTTTTTTTTTTTTTTAATCATGGTCTAAAATTCAAAATCTCGAAAATCAGGTCACGACAAATTGAACGCATAAAATTTTTCATTTATCCAGATCAAATAAGTTGATAATCCAATTTAAACCGTATAAGTTACGTTAAAATATCATCACTCGCATAATTAAGTCAAACTCAATAATTGTATGAACCAATTGTCTGACGCATGTTAAGAATAAATATCTACTTATTTTAAGAATAAAGATATTTTAAGAAAATGATTTAAATATTTTACGAATAAATTGTTTAACTTCTATTATAAATACTCCTCCACCCTACTAAGAAATCTCGAGTAACCTCAAGTAAAATAAAGTATAGTAGTATTCTACAGAATGTCTTGTAATCTCTTCTCGATTGGTCTTAATAAAGAGTGCGAGTGTTTCTTAGGAAAAGTTGTGTTCAACACAAGCCAGATTAGATTGACCGAGTTCTTCACATCATCGCCATTTTATCAATATTTTCATCAACAATTCTACAAAATTGAGATCTCGAAGCTCGAATTAGGTAAACTCATGAGCCAACACCCAAACCCATATTTTATTTTATTACACTTTCATTTATTTTTTTACTTTCGTCTTGTCTTTTTAGTCACGGTCCGAGATTCGAAATTTCGAAATTCAGGTCGTAACAAAATTGAACCCATACAACTTCCATTTATTCAAATCCAACCCAACTTAAATCGTCCGAGTTAGATTAAAATGATCGAGTTCTTCATGTTATCGACATTTTATCAATATTTTCATGAACAATTGAATAAAATTGAGATCTCGAAACACGAACCGATGTGTCATTTAAAACTTAGGTTAAGGAGGAAAAGTTGGATGGGTGTTTATAAGGAAACCCTAGCTGTCAAAGAGTAAATTTGAGTACCATATAGAAGTGGGTTCCTTAATTGAGTAGGTGATGTTCATAATGGCTATTTTAAAATCTACTTTTTCCACCATTTTCTTCTTTTGTTCCTCACATTTAATGCACACCACCATTCCCAATTTTAAAGGCCCATTTGTTTTTGTAACACCAACCAACTAATTTCAATTAATATCAAACATTATGATATGATAATAAATATCACATTTACAAATTGAGTTGTCAAGTTTGATCGGGTTGAGACACTTTTTTAGCCTCAATTCAATTATTCAGAATTGTATATTTTTTGAACCCAAACAACTCTCGTTAAATAATAAACCCAACTCAACTCAACTCAACCTGTGAGATCCCGTCGGTTAGGAAGAAAAACGAAACATTCTTTATAAGAGTGTGAAAATTAAAAACTTTGAGTCAAAGCT